TCTGATTTACCAGGGGTGAAGGAATCAGCTTTGATGGCACTTGGTAAAACAAAGAAGATGGAGAACTTCAACAAAATTGTTGATGCCAGAAGCAACGAAATCTCATTTGGTTTCGTAAGGAAGCACGACATCCACTACTTTGCACATGCATTTGGATCTAACACGGTTCTCAGGGATGCATTTGCTGAATATGTGATGGGACACTTTGAGGCATTTGAGAAGCACATTGATGACGCAGGGATGTTCAGGTATGTTATTACTGCTACATTCTCAAACATATTCAGTAATGAAATGATGCCAAAGGTGATGAAGTTCATGGATGAGATGGAGAAGCACTATGTTTATGGAAAGAGGTACGAAAGGGCAATTAAGAAAGTTAGGGACAATTTGGTGGCAATAAAAATGCTTAGGGAAAAGATAATGGGTGGAAGAGGTCCAGCAATGGCCGCTTAGGCTGCATCTAACGATAAACCCTGGGAATGTCACAAGTTGACATGTGATTGGTTGATTGATTAGATTACTGGGAAACAAATAAACAATCACAGGTATAATAAGAAGACAGAGGTTTCAATCTCGTGATTAATAAATGGGAACATCGAATAAGATTGTTAAACAGATAGAAAACCCTGAGAGGCCTGAAATAACAGAAGGATAGTTGAATAAACAAGGTTGTTTACAATTTATCCGCAAAAGTCTCCTAAAATGCATCCAAAGTATCTTCTAAACCACGACCTATTTTCAGGCTGTGGTATTCTCTGAGATCTATCCAAAATATTCTCTGATATTATGTTACCATCTGATGAAGCAATTACTATTTTCCTAGTCTTATTTTTCACTTCCCATGTTTTGATATGTGTCTCTTTTGATTGTTCAATTATTTCATTCTCACCTGACATTCTTTCTGATCCAACATATGAAGATGACTCTGTATTTTGATCAATGGATTTGTTGCCCACATTCAAATCCATTGATTCTTTCACTGTTTCTGGTTTATCTCCTGATACAACCCTCTTTGTATCAAGTGATTCCATAACAGTCGTTGTATCAATATTAAATACTTTGTCAAATTCAGTTGCCGAATATGAATTGGATTCGTGTTCTGAGACACATTTCAAATCAACTTGTTCATGTTCTACCACATCTTCAACAGTGATTGTTTCACAGCTTTCATTGGATTTGCTACTGTCGCCCATTACAGTAACATTCTCAACAGCTGCTACGATTTCACTAATTCCACTACCATCAGAAATAGCAAATTGAATACTGCTACTACCGGATTCAAGAGTATCTCTCTCCTTATCACTATTCTCTGCAGCTACCTCTTCTGCCATTTCACTAATGTCAGTGGTTCCAAAACTATCAGAAACACCAATGTTAATACTTAGTTGAGAATCACTAGACCAGGGGTGGCCAAACGTGGCCAATTTGGCCATTGTGGCCAATTTTGAAATTTCTGGCCAATTTTCCTATACTTTTTTTCTTAGGCGTTTCTAGTGGGAAAAGCGCCATGTGAAGCATTTTAATCCCTGTATCACAAAAAATTGCCATATTTTTGAACCTTACTACAACCCTGTACAAAACAAAAACCTTATTTTTATCCCTAATTTTGGGCTTGAAAAATAGGAAAAATATCACTACGTTTCAAGGTGATTTTGCCACTCAATAATTACAATGAGGACTAATTTTTATTGAAAAAGAGTATGTGAAGACACGTCCAAAACAACGATTCGTGTTTTAGCCGCGTCTAGATTACATGCATGAGATCGAAATAGTGAAAATGTTACAAATTGAAAATCTGAAGACAAGAGAGTGCTAGAGGAGGACATGAAAGTAGTGCTTTAGAAACCTTTGATGATATTAAGGCCCACAATAGAGGGCGTTATTGCTGTTTCAATTTGATTTCATAGGAACCAAACGGATGTCAAAACGAACAGAATAACACGAAATAACAGGTTATACTTCTTGTCTGTATCAAATAAGTGAGCATACCATCGTGTTTGTTTCCAAAAAAGATGTTATTGGCAACAAAAAAAGGGTTATCGAGCTTATTTAACTGAATTAGAAATTATTGAAAATAAAAACAACAGCTGTGTTAGATAGCACAGAGACTATAAATGTCATAAAACAGGGTATTTGAAGATAAATAAAGGCAAGTTTGTTGCATTTCTGATATTTTGGGCGGAAATAGACAAACAATAACATGGTAATTTGACTATCTCTGAATCTGGTGGCTAAAAATCGATGAAATTCAGATAAGTAGAGGAGACTTAACTATGATGAATAAACATAAGCACAGAATGATTGAAGTGAGATCAACAAGGAGAATGATGGCTGGGGATAGCGATTGATAATGATGAACATATTTTTGATTATTTTCTAAGATAGCGATTAACCTGATAAAGATGATCACGACGTTTCTTCGAAACGTCGTGATTCCTTGCGCGGAGCGGCAATTTTTTGAGTTGGCTCGAAGCAGGCTAGCGAAGCTGGCCGCGAGCCAACTCAAAAAATTGCGGAAAATTTGGCCAACGGAGCACAAACTTTTGGCCACCCCTGATCTATTTATATAGCAGGGTAATCATACATTCGTATCAAACCACTTCTTCTACTAGGTTTTCTAACACTATTGACATTAATATTCTTCAAATACACTCCCTTAAAAGTACTTAACACATTTCACCTTAATTATACGAAAGCAAGTGTGAATATCACTATTACAGGCATAGTTTGATGTTCTAATATGTTAAACAATAGGTAAACACGAAATGTGTATGTAAGAACAAGCTATCAAATACATGAAAATGTATGCACAGCAACCAAATCCAATATTAAAATGTCAAAGAATAACGATAAGGAAAAATTACCAAAGAGATATTGTACCTGGGGTATGCTTAGAATACAATATGCAGTGTAATGACTGCAATAATAGCCCAAGTTGAAAATGAAACCATACAACAATTATATACTATTCAAGGCAAATCAACAAATGAACACATATAATTCTAGAACATATATATAAGCAGTAGTAAGATTGCACTGTAGCATTCGTATGAATATGCATTTTTAATATTCTAAGAATGTTGACATTTTGATTGGGTATTTGGAACAAGAAAAAAAGAAGGAATATGAATAACGGACCAAAGCACAAGATACAACACAGATGAATGTTTTAATATTAATATGCAGGTATAAATAGTTTTAAACACAAGAAGGGTATGCTTTTGCATTGGATCATAATGGTGGTAATGGTGAAAACAAAACTACATAAGCGGATTTCAAAGAATAATAGTAACATGGATGATGAAGCCAACGTTTGTCATTGTAGTCTCCTTTATATAAGACCACCTTTCCTTGAAATATACGATTAAACAACAACTTAGAATAACATTTTTAATTTTAACAAGGTGCATGGAAAAATTGCAAAGGAAAAATTATTTAATTAGCATTTGATTCAAAGGAAGTAGATATCTTATAAATATGCACATTATTGTTTACTAATAATGTACAATTGATTAACTTATTAGTGTCCATTATTCAAATTTGTCAGTTAAATATTAGAAAATCTGCAATTTACCATAGTTGTTGATAACAGAATAACCTTTGATTAATGCCAAAATAGAATATTACTAGATACTCATCAACAGCAAATCAAAATACTCTTTATTGCATTAAAATACTGGTACTCCCAAAACAAAAAATATTCATCGTTTTATTTAAAGCCATATTATATAATCAATAATTGGTATTCTTGTGCTAATATACTATTATGTTAAAATATTTTCGGGTATACACATATTAATAAACCAGGGTAGGTCAAATTCATATTTGATATTCGGATTAGAAACATTTATTTATATG